GAGGCTGAGTATATTGCATTATCCGATGCGGCCAAGGAGGCATTTTGGATTAAGAAGTTCATCACCGAACTTGGTGTGGTTTCCACGATTGTTAATCCTATAGATGTCTATTGTGACAACAGTGGAGCAATTGCTCAAGCAAAGGAACCACAATCTCACCAGAAGTCCAAACACATACCTAGACGTTTTCATCTTATTAGAGAAATGGTTGAGAAGAAAGATGTGCATATTAGTAAAGTGCATACTGATGACAGTCTCGCCAATCCACTAACGAAGCCTTTGTCGTAGCAGAAGCATGAAAAACACTTAAGGTCATTGGGTATTAAATACATGAATAATTGGCTATAGTTCAAGTGAGAGATTGTTAGAGTAAATGCCCTAGAACCAATCTATTATTGTGAGTTTGACTCTGTAATAAATGTTTATTCATCAATGAAAAAGGCATATCCTTCTATATCGTGTAAATCATAGTTATATGTAATGATATATGTCCTTAGGATGGTAGACCTGTGACGAGGGTATCAAGTGTTTCAAATCTTGATAGTGAGAACCCTATGATCACATATGGTGGCCATTCTAGAAATGTCTATAGCCCTAGTATTATTCTGATCAAGGACATAGATAATACAGTAAGACTATCATAGCATTGAATGATGCTGTCGAAAGGCAGTGATTGATCTCACTTGTCAAAGTTGTTTGTCGACAACCTAGTAAAACGCATGGTTCCTTGCTAAATGCAAGTTCACTGGATAGATCCACTAGAGGATTCCATATGAATGGTAACTCCAGTGTCTATGGAATAAATCCTCTAATGAATGGTGGTGCATATGATCCTTAGACTTGAGATCACCAGAGCGCCTTGTGCACCGATTGGTATAGTTTGATACTAGTCCAATGTAGTTCTATTCAGAGCTATCAATACGATAGTGATTGGCTGCATCAAGGAGTGTATTAAGACTATGGTGGATTGACAAAAGATTCATCACTCCTGGGTACAGGAGAAGTTATCTCATGGTGCAATTCAGTGAATGACACTGACACTAAAGCTGTGGCTACAGTGGGATTGAGTTGAACAGCTCAATCCAATTTATTATTTCGGTCATTGGTCCAGTAACTGAATACATAGATATCGAGGATAACTGAGGTTGACACTATTTCTGTACCTCAATCTAAATGAGATAACAGATGATGAAATGATTTGATTGCACAGTAACTATATCGTTGATAGGTAGCTATTTCGCTGAATCTGAATCTATCGGGTGGCCATGATGCCTTGCTAGGGGCCAATCTTGGTCTGTGAGTAGTGAGATGATTAATTGGTGTTAACTGCGATACTACTCATTGCCGATGTGATAAGGAGCCTACGAGTCACACACTTAGAAGATAATTTAAGAATCGTTTTTGTGAAAGGGGTATTTTCGTCTTTTAGGACTAAAGGGTATTTTGGTAATCTCACAGTGCAATTAAATTTACTGAGACTGTTTACTGTATTTAATTTTAATATTAAAACTAAAATTAGTGAGTTTATATTTAAATATATGTGTGCATATATTTAAATGGATTATTATTAATAATTAAATGTTAATATATATGTGTGTGTGTGTGTGTGTGTGTGTTAATTGATTTTAATTATATTAATAATCAATTAAAATTAATATATCATAAAGAGTGTGTTTGGTTGCAAGGATGGATTAACTTAAGAGTCCATGGCTGTTCCTATTGGGATTAGGGTTTTAATTAAGCGACACTATATAAGTGAAACATAATTAAAACATAAAACAACAATTCATTCATTGATTGAAAAGAAAAGAACCCTAGCCACCCTTTTCTTCTCTCTCACGTTTTTCAAAGTGTATGTGAATCAAAGATTTTCCTTTTGATTCACTTGATTCTTGAAGCCTTCTATTAGTTCTAGCAAAACAATAATAGGTTCTACGGATTATCTTCGGGTGGACGACGTTCGTGCAATTGGGCAAGTGATTTGAATGATAAGAAGTCAACTAGTGGTTATTGTGTTTGTCTTAGAGGAAATTTAGTTCAATGGAGTTCAAAAGAAATAGAAGGTTGTTTCTCTATCATCTACAGGAACAGAAGGGGAAGTATACTGATTGAGGGGGAGTTATTCAGTTTAGTTTGATTTAACTTAATGCAAAACTGATTTTGATTGATGATATTGATTGTATTTTGCTTAAGTTCTCTTTGATGTTTTTTCCAACTTATCTCTACGCCTTGATGATTATACCTTTTATGAGATATGTTTTATGTTGTTTTCATTCTTGTCTCCTGTTGATTTATTGTTGATGTATTGAGACAGGTTGATTGATGAAAAGATTGTGCTTTGTTCATAAGTTTGACGAAGGGGGAGATTGTAAGTATCTTGTCAACTTATGATTTTTGCGTTGTAAAACTAGTCGTGGTATGAGCACTTCATTTTGATTCTTGCTCAATCATTTTTGTTTCATTCCAGTGTCACGAATCTCTGTCGATGTGACCAAACTCAGTTAATTCTGTTTTCTCTTATGTCGTGTGGCACATTGAAGTGTGGGTGGTCACACGCATCTAACAGATATTTTTCAAAGCATGTATTGCATTCTGTTTCTAATTGACCTAATGTTATTCTCTTTTGAGATACTTTAAGTGGTCCATGTACACTTGTCATTATATAAAATAGTGTGCTGAAAAAGTTGTTAAGCTTTTGTTTGTGGTCCCAACAAAAGCTGTAAGGGTTTGTATGCCACATGTCTTAAAGGGATTGGGTGAGCAAGGACTATTTATTATCATCTTCTTCCTTGCATTTTCTCTTGAACCTGGTGCGTCCATTGATGTGCTCTTTGAAATTTTTCTAGAGCTTATTTATTTACTTAGGTTCCCTTTATTTGTTACTCATTTCTTTGAGTTTTGTTAAGCAGTGATTTTTTGTTTCCATCATCTTCTTCTTTGCTTGTTTAAGCCTGAATATACCTCTGAAAGTTCTCTACATATTCTTTGAGGTTTCTTTTGTTTTGAATCAGGTTTCATATGCCTTAAGTAGACTTACAAATACCCTGGATAAACTTTGTTTATTTTTTCATGGCTGGAACATGGGCTTCCATTGGTGATGCTTGATGGGATTTCAAGCTTTTGGAGCTGAAGTGCGTCTTCAGTGCTGTACCTTAAGAGGAGCTCAAGGGTGACCAGGTTGTCTCATAAAGTGAAGCTTGTTATAATAGTTCGAAGTTCTACCAAAAGGTGAAGTTTGAAGTGTTGTCATAATGAGTGTTTTGCAACTGATGTGTAACTTTGGCTTTGTAATTGAACTATAATGTTTACCATGGTAGATTTGCTTCTTCTAGACTTGGTCCCATGGACGTAGGCAGGTTGTTAAACCATGTAAATTTGTCTTGTGTGCTTTACTTTATACCATGAATGTTTAGTTTGTGTTGGTGATGAATAAGCAAACCCATAAGCACAAAATGAATAAGTTTAACCCATTCCGCATAAGTTTAATCAACTTGGTAAAGTGATAAAACTTTCATACTCATTTCAAATGATGTAAGAATATTAACATTTATCAAGTTTTGACTTGCTAAATGATTCCAAATAGAGGATTTGGAAAAGTTAGTTATGGTCTTGAAATCAATCTTATGCATAAGATTGAAATAAGACATTATCCCATACCTTATGCATAAGCAAAGCTCCTGCTTGGAATGCAAAATTTCGAGAAAGGTTTTTCACCTTTCAGACATGGAATTGAATTTTCTTACATCAGTCTTTTCAAGAAAAAGAAATGAGACAAGTTCCATATACTCCAGATATGGAAGTCTCATGTATGCAATGCTATATACTAGACTAGATATTAACTATGCAGTAGGAGTGGTCAACAGATAATAGTCAAAAGCATGTTGAGTTGTCACATACTTACGTATCGTTGGCGAATAGGAGAGTATATACTGTTTCTAGAGAAAATCTAATACCTCGTGGGTATACAGATTTAGTTTATTAACTAATCCAGATTAGAGAAACACAACGTTAAGCATGGTGTTTGCTCTAAGTAGCAAAGCCAATGAGTGATAGATATAAAACAATCTTGGTTTGTTGATTCCACCATGGATATTGATCTTATAACAATCGATGTGACAGTTAAAAAAGCAATCTGACTTGTATCTCATGAAACTTAGAGTAGTTCCTAGAACAATATGGTCCATAACACTCTATAGTGATAATGGAACTGTGGCTAATTGAGGTGAACTAAGAAACCACATCAGAGGAAAGCTTTTCAAAGAAAAGCCGGAAGTTGTAAACATAATACATTTACTTTAGTGCAAGTGGGAGTTTGTTGGGACTTATGCCCTACAAGCAGATTCGTTTTCCATTAGTATGATGAATAAGGCATTATTCATCTATGCATTGATAAAATCACATCTTAAGGTTTCGATTTTCATGTTAATAATAAGAACAGTTTTTTATGGGGGATTCATATAAGGAAGATATAGTTCTTAATTACAATCTGAAAAAGTCCGCAACATATATTTATGGAAAACGAATATGCTTGTAGGACATAAATCCCAACAATTTACAGTTGAAGACGAGGGTATTAATGACAAAAAAAGAAAGGGGGGGGGGGGGGGGGGGGNTTGTATTGGCCAAAAGTTTAGTTAAAAATGTTAGAAAGAAATTAGAATTTAGCCAAAGTATATATGTTGTGCCATTTATTAGATTGAATTTACAATGATTAATATGACAATATAGATTAATGTATAGAATGTAGTCAAAAGAAAAGAAGAAAGAAGGGCATGAATAATAATTGAAGTTGATGGTCATGTAAGAAAATGTAAATTTATGGCGTTAAGATTTGTATTTAGAAAGTTGTACGAGGTATATTTGTTATATTAGAAAAATATTAGAGAGTTCTTTAATGACATGGTTAGGTGATGTATAAGTTTGAGAAAATCAAAGGGCTTTTGCGTAAATGGGGACAGGGTAATTAATGTAATCCATCGATGAAGAGTTTCACAGGTAAGGAACAAAAAACAAAAGATTAGACAAGCCAGTGGTATTGCCATTTTTTTTTTCTTTCAGTTCAAAATCTTTCTTATGCACTGAAAAAACTGTAAATCATTCTTAGCTATTCTATTTTCATTTCAAAACAGCTGCTCAGGGCTGGGGAATCCAGGTGTTCACCTATTAAGATCTTATATACAGAATCATCACCTCTAGTACTATACTTTTTTTTTTCCTATATTAATTTTTCAAATGATGGCTCCCTTAAAGATGGTTAGGAATTCATTGACCAATCATAGTTCTGGTATACAATATTTATGGGACCTCCATCACTCAAGAGGTGAGTCAAGAGACCAGCTTTGGTTGCATCCAGATAACTGATTATCCACTTCAGGATTTCTTTGTCCTGTCCAAAATCCGACTTGAACCTGTGGCACAACAACGTTATAACATGTAGTTAAACAGATGATGAAAGACCTGCCAATGAATAATGTTGAAGCAGATCGCTGTAACCATTTATACAAAAGATATCACTCACCACTTGATGATCCGCGTCAGATAAATTGTCCTCCCATCCAAATTCACTTCAATTCCACCCCTCTGAAAGAATTCTCTTGTAGCGAATCTTAGATCAGCTTCAACTCATTGGGATGTGAAAAACCTCACCGTGGGACTTGATTTTGTTCCATTGCATAGTCCAAAGTGGATTAAAGGATTCATTTTCTGAGTAATGAGCTGCCATTTTATTCAGTAAGAATAAAAAGTTCAATATATCTTCAGATTTCATGAAATATTTTTAGATTTCATAAAATTAATTTACCCCTACTTAACCAAAAAAAAAAAAAAAAATTAATTTACCTCTAGGCGCTTGTCTCCAGAGCCAAAGGGCTTGACTAATGAGTAGGTACCCCTCCTATTGCTTCTGAGGATTCCATTTTTTATTGTACTCAAGGAATAGGGATACCCTCCAACTACATATTGAAAATCAGAAAAGAAGGATTTCCTTTCAATTACTCCCTCTGGGTGACCTATCCTAATTATAGCATGGATGACCATGGCATTGTACAAGTTCAAGAAGAAGGCTAATTTCTCATCTGCTGAAAGTGTAAATAGGTTCACCCGATGAAGATCTTGAGCTAAATTAACATATCTGCACTCACAGCAACAATAAATTATAATAAAACAATCAATATTAGAAGGTTATATAACACTCAAAAATATAATCAACTCAAATTCTGTTCATTAGCCAAAAGAATATTATCAACTCAAATAAGATTAATATTCCAAATATTACACTAAATATATACAAGTGTGTGTGTGTGTTCAATTAGTAAGAAAAGAAAGCAGTAATACCTTCGAAATTCCTCACTTCTGCTGATGGCCACATAGTCGACATGACATCTATCATCAGAGGCGTAAAACTCAAGTATGGCAGACATTATCTTGTTAAGTCTTTGTCCAACCAAACTGGCAGTCTTAGGCTCAAAATCATTTGTGCATCCTCTAAAATTATAGCATTTTGGAATATAGGGTTCATGCTCCAGGAAACGATAGAAATGGTTTCCATCTTCAAAATCATTTTCTCTGCATTAATTAATTATAACATAAGCATAACCAAAGTTAATCACCATTTGATTAATTTATTATTTTTACATGTTTCTTACCCGAAAACGTGATGGATAAAATGCTTCTTGCTCAGCTGCTTTCCAATCTCAACGCCCTACATTTTTAATTTGCATCATTGTAATACAACAACTCACAACTACAAAAAGGTAAATCAGTCATTTCTTCATTCTGAATTTTATCACTTGTTCAATTCCTTCCTGAATGCAAAATTTCATTTATAATTTTTAATAGTTTTAGAAAAAGGTGTAGTATATAGTGTCAAATAATAATCATGGAAAATAAACAAAAATGACCCATTTTCGAAGGACAATAATGTCCCTCTAATCTTGGACTATTTTCGTAATTTGAATAATAAATTTTTGTAAATCGTGGCAGAACAGGTGCGTCACAAAAACATATTTCAAACTCATATAGAGCAGAATGAACATGCGCATGTGAGTTTTTAATACTAATTGATTGTGTTTTGTTTAACTTGATTTTCTTTCTGACCAACATGTATTTTGTTAACTTCAGTACGAAGTAAAATTATTATAATTAATTCTCTAAAACTTTGGGCCTTCAAATTTCCAGTTCCTACAGCTACAGTCTTAACAACATTTCCACGGGATCATAACTGGACCCTCCTTGCTCTAGCTCTTTTAACTCTAAAGAAACAGATAAATTAAATACAAAACTGATCTACACAGACAAATATCAATTATAAATTAAATCTATGATGTCCATTTACTGTGATTATATCAACCTAACTGTGTATATATACACACAGTTCCATTTTAATTGTTTCTAACCAATGATATGATATGATTGTTTATTAAAGTAATTAATTAATTATGCTTTTAGAATTAGGAAGCAGTTATGTAATAGCGGGCGTTATCATATCTCCCGCGTGCTCGCCATCATTAAGTTGACAAACAGTAATTTTTCATTTTTACCATAAAAAACATGAAAAAGCAATTTCTGATAAAAAAAAGTTCTAGAGATAATCAGATATTTGTAAACACACCAAATCAAATAGACATTCAATATTTCTCAAAATCCAATTTCAATATAAAAACATTCAAAACGTACCTTCCTCCTGCCGCAATCCAAGTGGTGGAGCAATACCTCCACCATCTCACTTCCAGCAAAGCAGTTTTTAACAATCTTCATCTTCATCAGACGGTCTTGAATTGGCAACTTCTGTCTTAACACCCTAATAATATCCAACAAATCATCCATGGATTCGTCATCATGATCATCATCAAAACCATAGACGGGTGGTGCAGGTGCATCACTAGAACATTTCTTCACCAACATCTCCCTGAAACGATGGTCAAAACTCCCACTATTCCTCAAAGAATTCAAAGCCACCAAACCTCCAAACAACTTATCGTTGAAGAATATCTGCGGCACCTGAGAAGATCCTGTTCTTTGTATCAACTCTTTTTCTCTTTTTGGATAGACGTCGATATTAATTTCAATAAATTGCAATCCTTTTTGTCTAAAAAAGGTCCGAACAGCTGTACTATCTCTGCAGTTGGATCTTGAAAAGAAGCTTATGCGGCCTTTTATATCATGACCATTTATATTTATATTTTCATCTTCATCTTCGTTCTTGAGCTTCACTACAACTTTGAGTCCAGAGATATTGAACTGAGTTACCTCGTCCGATTTGATCATTACAGTTTCAGACCATGCATCTGCATCGATGTTTTCTTTGAGAGAAGAGAGTGTTTTGGCGATTGCAGCAGAGAAGTTGTTGGTTCTTTCACGAATAAATTTACCGATTGTAGGCATGTCGAGGAATGAATTCTCTGTAACTGGAGGAGGAGGAGATACTGGTGAAAGGCCAGGAGGAGCTTCTGGCTTTGGAAGCTGTGAATGAGGTTGGATGATCCCCACTCCATCACTTTTACTTTTAATTGAATCTTCAACGGCATCGCCATTTGAATTTGAATTTGAATTTGAATTAGAATTATGATCTGGAGAGGGATTGTCGGCATTTTCTGAGAATCTATTCAAAATCTCTGCAGATTCCATCTTCATTTCTCTAAGGAAATGGAAGAGAGTAATAGTGTTTGATGAGAGATTGACAAAATTAACAAAAGCTATAAAAGTGCTAGCGATGAATTCGGAGAGGTTTTATGGAGGAGAATATATGGGAAGCTATAACAAGAAGAGGTCAAAGACGTGAAGACAATAAATAATTAGAAAAACAAAAGAAATCTTTCAGTTAAAAGGCGACCAAGCACTTTAAGCCGGCTCTTTGATAATATCCACGGCCCCACTTTCCGCGTACCAACCAACGGAAACTAATTATTCATTATACAAGTACCATTCTGCCCTTGCGAACTAGCAGTTAAATTTACAGTTATGGTAAAGGGTATGTGGGTTTCATGTCATTTGATTTTTGACTTAGTTCGCCGTTAATTGAGGTCAAGTTAGTTGATACAGTCTAGTGTTGATTTGGATGGGTCAAAAGTGTTAAAAAGTCAGTTTATGCTTAGGTGAACAGTGAATTTCCATGTGGCGTCCTTTACCTTCTGATTACAAGCTTTCGAACGTGAACACCGTTTAGATATAATATAAGTAATAATTAGGCTCTAAGATTTAAACAAGTTTTATTACAAGTCAGAATATTATAATATAAAGATATTTTCATCCAAAAGACAATAGTTGTTAACTTAATTTGTTAGATAAAAGAGAAAACTTGAAAAGATTTAAAAAACAGAAGAGTTTGTCTATTTTGTTCACAAGATAACACAATTGACCATGATAACAAAGGGAAAAAGTAACCACTTGGCTTCTTGCCGTATGACAAGCCCTTAAGTTATCCAAATATCTTGTATTCGAGTATCAAGTGACCACTTACTACATTTGTAACTTACTTGGCTCATTGAGCTTATAAGGTGTTCAATGGACTTCAGAAAATTAGTTAAGATGCGCGTAAGGTTTAGATACCTTTATCACTAAAACAAAAAACAAGAAACAAGAAACAAAGGGACAAAGTAATAAATGATAATTTTTCTAAGTTTCGTCTTAAGGAACTTGCCTATATAGTAATAATTATCTATCTATGGCAAAAAAAAAAAAAAAAAAAATGTTAAATTAAAGGTGTAAAATGAAAGAAAACATTTATGTAAAATTGTTTGAGACAATAATTTATATTTTAGAGTTATGACTACATCTTTGAACTTGTAGGTACGTAATAACTCGCTGAAATGAACACTTTCTTATTAAAACCAAAATATTTTTATGTTTTCAAACATGTTTAAAGCTTCTTGGCACGGATTTTTCTATACTTTTGTACTATCATCATCAAAATCATCTCATTCTTCTTTTTTTTCTTAGGTATCCAAACCCACTTTGGAGCTTGTCTAATCCTCAAGGCCACGAAACAATCTACAAGGCTTAATGAACCAAGGTAATTATACAAATATGGTAGGTACCTCTCCTATTATTAGAACACAATACCCCCTAGGTATAACTAACCTCAGTGGTTAAAGGGTTTGTCATCTGACCATAAGGTGAGAGGTTCCTTCCTCTTTTGTCTAATTGTAGCAATTAATAATTTTATTACTTTACCTCTGTACCACTTGCATTAAGCATCAGTTATGTCTATAGAGAAATTTTATTGTATAGTAACTATACCTCTAATAAATTTTGTAACTATACCTCTATTAAGTTATAACCTCCTCATAGTAATAAAATTAGTTTGATCTAACCCTCAGTTATGTCTATAGAGAAGTTTTATTGTATTATGATTTTCATCTTTCAAATTATTATTTTTAAATAATATAATCATTAGAAAAATTGTATAATAAAAAAAAAACTATTTTTCATTGATGTAAACACTTGTTATTTTAATTTTGTTGGATAAAAAATAATTTTTATGAAAAACAATTTTTTGCATTTTTTTTATGTTCAATATATATATATAAGACAAAAGCNAAAAGAGTAAACTTGAAAAGATTTAAAAAACAGAAGAGTTTGTCTATTTTGTTCACAAGATAACACAATTGACCATGATAACAAAGGGAAAAAGTTACCACTTGACTTGTTGCCGGATGACAAGACGTTTAGAATCCAAACATCTTGTATTTGAGTCTTACCAAGTGACCGCTTACTACATTTATAACTTACTTGACTCATTGGGTTTATATGGTATTCAATAGACCTCGGAGAATTAGTTGAGATACGCGCAAGGTTTAGATACCTTGATCATTAAAAAAAAAAAATACAGAAAGGGATAAAATAATAAATGATAATTTTTCTAAGTTTCATCTTAAGGAACTTGCCTACATAGTAATAATTATCTGTCTATAGCAAAAAAATATATGTTAAATTAAAGGTGTAAAATGAAATAAAACATTTATGTAAAGTTGTTTGAGACAATAATTTATATTTTAGAATTGTGACCATATCTTTGAACTTATAGGTACGTAATAACTCGCTCACACGAACACTTTCTTATTAAAACCAAAATATTTTTAGGTTTTCAAACATGTTTAAAGCTTCTTGGCATGAATTTTTCTATACTTTTTTACTATCATCCTCAAAATTATCTCATTCCTCTTTTTTTTTTTTCTTTTTAGGTATCCAAGCCCACTTTAGAACTTGTCTAATCCTCAAGGCCACGAAACAATCTACAAGGCCTAATGAACCAAGGTAATGGTATAAATATAGTAGGTACCTCTCCTATTACTAGAATACAAGACTCCCTAGGTATAACTAACCTCAGTGGTTAAAGGGTTTGTCATCTGGCCATAAGGGGAGAGGTTCCTTCCTCTTTTGTCTAATTGTAGCAATTAATAATTTTATTACTTTACCTATGTACCACTTGCATTAAGCATAACTAAGTCAAACAATAATTTTTGTAACTATACCTCTATTAAGTTATAACCTCCTCATAGTAATAAAATTAGTTTGATTTCACCTTAGTTATGTCTATAGATAAGTTTTATTGTATTATGATTTTCATCTTTCAAATTATTATTTTTAAATATTAAAATCATTAGAAAAATTGTATAATAAAAAAACTATTTTTCATTGATGTAAACACTTGTTATTTTAATTTTGTTGGATAAAAAATATATTTTTCTGAAAAACAATTTTTTGCATTTTTTTATGTTCTCTCTATATATATATATATATATATATTTGTTTATTATATGAATAATCATATAAGACAAAAGCGTTTTTGTGTTTTTTTGTCAAATTTGTGTGTTAGATAACAATAACAAATTATGCTAATGACGGTTATCTTTTGGACGGAAATATCCCTATACTATATCGTTTGGGCTTACAATATCACTTATTTAAATCTTTAGGTCTAATTGTCAATTACACTGAACCTAATAGGTATTTATATTACCAGGTTTTTTTTTTTTTTTTTGTTTCCAAATATTGTCATTAAAAAAAGAAGCCTAAACTATATATACAATAAATATCTTAATTTTGGGTAGAACTTAGAAGAACTTTTGGTATTAATTAAAATAATAATAATAATCTTTAAGAATAACATCTCTTCCTCAAAAATTCTTAAATTCTAAAAATATACATAAAAACCCACTAAGACTCAAATTTGCATTAAAGACCTACAATCAAGGTAAAGTAAGATAGATAAGTCACATGGATCTCATCGAGAAGAAATGGATAATAAACAGGAAGTCAAATATAAAGGAAATTGATATTTGACCTTCACCATGTGTTTTTAGTAGTAGAGGTGGTAAAAAAGCCTGGGCCCAAAACAAGATCCTAGGACTGTAGGTCTACAGATCAGATTTGCACAACGGAATACAAATAAAAACTTTGATCCATAAACCTTGAGCCCTATATCTTATACCCGTTTACGGAGTTTGCATATGAAACATATATTAAACCAAAAATCAGAGTTTCATACCAGTATTTGGAGACTCCTTCAATCAACACAATTTGCTCCTACTTCAAGTTAGAAGTGCACTTTCGGTATCCACATGAAGACAGGACACCGATCACCAAGCGGCTCGATGTGCTAGCCAAAACTGCAAGTATCAAGAATGGGAATGTAGAATTTTTCTCAGAAAAATTCTCCTCTTTCAACAATGGAGAGTCCACAGTCTAGGAGAGTGAGGGAGAGAGAGAGAGTGGATGGCTAGGGTTTTGTTTTTGTGAAAATTATTTTTTTGTTTTTGATTTTAAACACCTAAATAGTGTACACCAAAAACCCTAATTTAATTTTGAAATCATATCAAATAATTCCAAAATTAAGTTAAATATATAATTACCAATATCAAGGTAATTTCCCACATGGCATTTTATGTTTCTAATTCAAACTTGAATTTGATTTATATTATCATTAATATTAATATTATTCAAATATTAATATTAATATTAATATAACATTTAAATACATATATTTAAATATATATATTTAAATACATAATCTCACTTATTTTAATTTCCATATGAAATTTAATATAGGCAACGACCTCAGCAAATTTAATTGCACTGTGAGATTACCGAAATACCCTTTCATCTTAAAAGACGAAAATACTCTTTCACTTATTTATCCTTAATCTATCTTCTATGTGTATGACCCGAAGGCTCTTCATCATATCAGCAGTGAGTAGTATCACGATTGACACCCAATCAATCGTCTCACTAAATATAAACCAAGATTGGCCTCTAGCAAGGCATCATGGCCACCCAATAGATTCGGATTCAGCGAAATAGCTTACTTATCAATGATATGGTTATCATGCAATCAAATCCTTTCATCTTTCATTATCTCATCAAGGTTGAGGTACAGAAGTAATGTCAACCTTAGATATCCCTGACATCTCAGTATTCGGTTATTAGGCTAACGATTGGAAATAGATTGGATTGAGATACAACTCAATCACACTGTGGCCACAGATTTAATGTCGTTGTCATTTACCGAATTGCACAGTGAGATAATCGCTCCCGTACTTGAGAGTGATGAATCTTTTGTCAATCCATTATGGTCTTGATATACTTCTTGATGTAGCCAATCACTATCGTTTTGATAGCTCCAAATA